AGAATCAAGAATGTAGCGCCGTTGAAAAGGCCGAATATGTGTTGCCTGATCAAAGCAAATAGGAGTAAGGTGGAAAACTCCAAGTTGTTCGTCCCGGAAGCTAGACTTGGGACGACAGAAAGTGGACCAGCAAATGGGAGGGTACGTAGCTATGACTAACGACACCGCCAAGACAGCAGCGAGTGATGGGGTAACGCCCACTTTTGCGCAATCAGCTATCTTTAATTATCCTCTCCGCCCAAAATGCATAGACAAACGTCCCTCACTTATGAATCAAAAACAGATATGCTGCCACGGTACAGGAGAGAACAGTGAGAAGAAGAGAAATGAAAAGGCAATCACTGAGGAGGTGCGATGACAGGAACGGGAATTTTAGTCGCCTGATGGTTCGAATGCACACTCGAATACACCTTCAGATAAAGTGGCAAATAAGGGTAGTGAACGCACAGAGGATGTAATATTTAAGGGGAGAGGTTGTCACGCCAGCACAAACTTGTCAAAATTAGTAAATACACTCTTCATCTCAGGCGGTTATACTGTGTAAACCGATGTCTTGAACCTACGCATTCGAGTATTTAATTGTCGCAAGTTGATTCCTTATGTTTTTGATTGACGTGATAATGATTAGACCAAATGGTACAGCGGTACTGGCAATGGCAGCTGTGTTCATCCACATGATTACTGTGTGAAAAGCTTACTCTGCGCAGGTAAAGCATTAGCACTGCATAAGAAATGATGGGTATAGAGCAATGGTATCGTTTGTAGACTGCAGACCATAGTCTCATGACCTTAAAAAGGTCGCGACCTACAGAGTTTTCACTTCTCAAGGAAGTTCAGTTTCTTTAGGCCTTGAGGTATATTTGGGTTCTGGGGACTTAACAACGACCTGGGAGATGGCACCCTTTTCCTCACTATTACCGTGCCTTTAGCCATGCGCGTTCGAAGTAACCTTCCAGTCTCCTTTCCGTAACTGCTTTGCCTGTGAACGACTCTAGGCATCTTCTGAAATGATAGTGAGCCTTTTGGCCTCGTCACTTAGTGCCTTATGGCAGCCTCGGGTCTTAACAACCTTAATTGGTATGATAAGACGACTAACAGCTTCCTGGGGGGGACGGTTGCGAGCACGAAAATCTGGGGTATGTGCGGTTTAGTGACTAGTCTTGCACTTGGACGACTTTGTATAGATATGCATTCATAATGAGCATACGTAAATTTCCTGCAGTGCTCTCAGCAGGCCGATTGAGTGCTCTTATGCAAAACCTATCATAGTTGCTTGGGTG